GGAAAAGACTAGACAAGACAGAATTTGCAATATAACAATCCGCACCAATCTCGACGCCAAGGCTGTCTACACCATAATAGAAGAACATAAGTTGAGATGGTTTGGGCATCTTATCCTAATGGATCGGAACAGAATCGCAAGGAAAACGTAAGAGATTCGCGTGAGGATAGGAGAGCCAGAACCTCCTGGGAAGAAAGCCTGCGAGATGCATTGCAGAAGCGAGGTTTGGAATGGAACAGGAGATGAGAGCTGGTACTGGAAAGGTCCACCTGGTCCAAGTTCTACAAGAAGCAACCTCACACTGCACAAGCGGTAAAGAGGAACATGATTATGATGATGACTCTTTCATTTGCTTAAATAGAGTTTTCAAAAAACAAACATCAATACCTCATAAATCCAATAAATAAGAAATTTAATTTCAACAATAATAATAATAACAATCAAATACAATAAAACAAACGCTACAATAAATAAACACGATATTGTACCAATAGTTTGCTAACTGACCAATTGAGATCTTTGTAATGTGGCCTGCTTTACATAATTGCTTAAGGATCCGGACACAAACAAGGATCCGGCGTGCGAAGTCCCTCTACTTCCACGAAGCCCTTTCCTCAACTCCTGACATAAAATCAAAATGGCGACTGCTTCGTAAACTCTCCCTTTGTGATCCTTCCCGATCCCCTACTCCAGCCTTTCCAATATCCCCTGATGATCTAAACTCGCATTTTATATCTGTTGCTAATACCTCTCCTTTATCCTCCTGTTCCGACTTCCCAATAGAGATACCATTTAACGACAATAACTTTTATTTTTCCGACATTTCCCCTACAGACCTTTTAACCGCTGTAATGAAATCCCACACCAATTCCATAGGACCGGACGGCATCCCTGTCAAACTAATAAAATTATGTCTTCCTGAAATCCTCCCAGTCCTTCTTTTCATCTACAATTTCTCCCTTCAGAATTCAGTATTCCCTACATCTTGGAAACAAGCCATTGTCCTTCCTTTAAATAAAAATTCTAATCCGACCTCACCCGAAGATTTCCGCCCAATCTCAATTCTTTCCAACCTCTCGAAACCTCTAGAAAGATTGGTGCAATCCCAAGTCTCCAACTTCCTTGAAAAGTCCAACCAACTTGATCCTCTCCAATCTGGTTTCCGTCCCAGCTACTCCACACAATCCGCCTTAATTAAAATCACCAACGACATTCAAACTGCAATAGATGATAAAAAGTTAACCATCCTTATCCTTCTCGACTTCTCCAAAGCCTTCGATTCCATTAACCATTCCATCCTTTTCAACAAACTGAAATTATTATCCTTCTCCAATAGTTCCATCTCTTGGTTTCAATCTTTCCTCTCACAACGTACCCAAACAGTCTCCATACCCAACCAACCACTATCTGCCTTCCTTTCTTTATCCTCTGGAGTTGCCCAGGGTTCAAGCATATCTCCTCTCCTTTTCAGCTCCTACATTAATGACCTACCTAAATCAATTCTCCATTGTTCCCATCACCTTTATGCAGACGATTCACAGATCTACCTATCATTTTCCCCTCCTGAGTTACTGGGGGCATTTGCCAAGATCCAAGAAGACCTAGATCGAATCAGTGCCTGGGCAAATGTAAATGGATTAAGGTTAAATGCCGCCAAAACTCAGGCCATTGTCATTGCTTCCAAGCCCCTTCTTAGATCCCATCCAGACTTTCCCATCCTTCACCTTAATGACCAGCCAATCTCCTTCTACTCCTCTGTTAAAAACTTAGGATTTTTCATTGATCAAAACCTCCTTTGGAATCACCATATTTCTCATATCTCTCGACGGACAATTTCCACCCTCAAACTATTCCATCGCTTCCGCCATCTCCTACCTCAACATACGCGTAGACTCCTAGTTTCCTCTCTCATTTTCCCCCACTTTGACTATAGCTGTGTGGTGTATGATGGCCTCTCTGTGGAGCTCCGTGATAGACTGAAAAGACTAATGAACAGCTGTGTAAGATTTGTGATCGGGGCCCCAAGATACTCCCATGTTTCTCACCACTATGCTGAATTAAAGTGGCTTTTCCTCTCCTTCCGAAGACAATATTTCCTAGGTACGTTCCTCTACCAAATCATCAACAGTCATCGTCCTTCTTACGCCTACAATCTTCTCCAGTTCAAATCCTCAGTCCATTCCCTGTCCACAAGATCTCGACCTTCTAATCTTTACATGCCTTCTCACAGATCTGCCTCATTCCAAAATTCCTTTGTTGTTCGCTCTGTCAATTTCTGGAATTCCCTCCCTATCAAAATTCGACATTCCCCATCCATATCCAAATTCAAAATCCTCCTATTCCAATTCCTATCCCAAGAACAGTCAGATAGTTGCTAACCATTCGAGCTGATTTTAATAGAGAATTTGATACATAAAAATTCATTGATTGATTCATTGATACATTTTTATTTTTTAATTCTTTATTATTTTCTTAAAAGTGTATACTAGTGCAAATAGCTTTAAGTGCCTTGTTATAGTATTAATTGTTTTGTATATAGTTTCGTTTTTTTTTTTATATAGAATGTTTACCTTATATTTTTTTTACATTATTTCTTTTTTTCGATTGATTTTATTTTGGCCAGATGTGATCTTTTAATTTTGTTCTATTTTGTTATTCTCAAGGGACTATGTCCCAGAATAAAATTATTTTTCTATCTATCTATCTAAGGCTTTCCAGTTAGAACCCTTTAATAAACTAAAGAATTCTTTTGGAGAACAGATCTGCTGCCCAAAACATTTATCTCTCATCTCATTGTACATGACACAAGTCCCCTAAAAGTGAATGATATCCTCTTTTTCTTGAGAGTTACATGCCGGACAGTTATCGTTCCCTCTCCAAAACCCATCCATGGTTTTACGCTTAAATCGAGTAATTCAGTCCTACATCGAAAAATGAACCCTATAGTCACAATATCAAAACTATCATCAAGGTAGGGCGTAACATTGTCCACTGAACATAGTCCTGCGTAAATAGAAAAATTTGAATGAAGACATTTTTGAAGGTTATTTTGTTTTTCAAAGTCCTCTACCCTATGTCTGACAAAAGTCAATTTTCCGCGCAGATCAGCGATATTTGCAGTATCAAGATTAATTTTACAATTATTCTCGAATTTTAACCACTTTCGGTACCAATAAACTCTCTTAGTGATTACCTCTTTCGCTAGGATATGCAAAGTATCTTTTAAATTTTTCCAATACTTCATAAGGCTCGAAACCCCAAACCTGCCGAGCTTAACCAATCACCGCCCAAGAGACCGAATTACAAACCACTAGTTTACTGGAGGAGACATTTTTGTTAGTTATGAAATTGTGCCAGGTAGAATTTAGGACAAATTTTGCATGACTTACTCTTTCAGCAAAGTGTCGTCCCAAGACCAATCTTGGGGTAATGATAACACTTAGATATTTATACTCATTTACTACATCAACAGGGTTTCCTCCGAAGTTCCACCTCTCGTATCTGGATAGTCTACCTCCATTGTGGAAAACTATTATTTTTGACTTGGTCAAATTAATATGCAAGTTCCACATTCGGCAGTAATTCTCCAAGTGGTTTGTAATACGCCGTAATTTAACTTGAGAAGGGGCTAATAGTAGTACGTCGTCTGCATAAAATAAACACCTAATATTTACTCCTGCGATTTCTAGCCCTTCTTACAAATTTTCGTGTAAAACATTTATGAACAACGCAAACAGCAAAGGACTAAGCAGAAAACCCTGTCTTAACCCTACTGATGTTTCGAAAAAGTTAATTAGTCCTTCTCTATGATATGCAGTAGCCTTAGTATTTGTATGTAAGCTTCTTATGATATTAAAAAATCTATGAGACAGCCCAATATTGGCTAAATTAAAAAACAGAGCCTCCTTATCAATGGAATCAATGAAAAATGTATACACTTTACGACGTTCTCTTGCCAGATTCAGTTTGACAGTGCTAAACAAGCTGAAAATGTGGTCTACGGTTGAGTACCTCGGACGAAAACCCTCTTGGAAATCATCTAATATGTCATTTGTGTATACCCAGTTCCGTAAGCGTCCCAATAAAAGTCCAGTCAATAATTTTGTAGTTACATTAATATAAGATATGCCCCTAAAATTGTCAACGTTATGGATATATCCTTTTTTGCATAACGGGTAAATGACTGATTTAGCGAAGCTCTATGGGATTCTTCCACTATTAAAGTAAGGATTGAATACGTTAAAGAATTTTTGCAATACGCATTCTGTGGAATTTTTGAAAAATTCGTACTACACAAAACAGATTGCACATTTTAATTCATCAAAATCTATTTCCGAATCCAGCTCAAAATTTAACCATTTTGGGGAGGCATAAAATATTTGAGAAGTTTTTATATCAAGATTCAACAATAAATTAAAGTATTATCTAAACTGCTCACCTGTAATATTCACCTGTAGATTCACTAATAAAATTTGAAGTCCTGAATTGGTTTATTAGTGACCACAGATCTTTAGTATCTTTAATACATTTAATTTTTTCTTTAAGTTCTTATAATACTCATTCCGTTTTTTTGCGGTAACTAATTCTTTGTATTCATTAACATTCCTCTTATATCAATTTGGCAAGTCTGGACAACCATTGGTATCCATGTGAGCATCCGTATCAGATACTTTTGGGTTGTATCAGATACTTTTTAGTATCAGATACTTTTTAGTATCAGATACATACAATCCGACCCATCCCTATAAATAAGTAACCAGAGCACTAAAGTAACCGTAACCGGTTGGCTGTAATGAAAATAGTTGGTTAAATCGGCCGGTTAATTACATCTTTACTATTTGGCTGATTTCACATAAATTGATGATATTGCATCATATATTTGTTGTGAAATTATGTCTAAAAAAATTAAATGTGAAATAATTCAAACAATTAGCTATTTATAATAGTATATTTTTGTTTAGTTTAATCATAACCTGTGAATTGTAACCTCACGTTAGCGTGGGGACTGTTTGAGGCTCTCTTGTAATTATTCAATATAGAATTACGAATATATTTCTATGAACGATGGTTAAGTTAACTCCAGATTTAATTCAACAAGCTCTTCAGTACATAAATCCAGTAAGAGATAGGGAGTTAGACCTTCGAGGTACTAAAAGTTCTTGTCATTTATTGTGTACTCTTATCTTCATTCCAACTAATTGTCCTTTTAATTTTGCAGGTTACAAAATTCCTGTAATTGAGAATTTAGGAGCTACATTAGATCAGTTTGACACCATAGATTTTTCAGACAATGATATTAGAAAGTTGGATGGTTTTCCACTTTTAAAAAGATTAAAATGTGTTCTCCTCAATAACAATAGGATTGTGTAAGTTATTTATATTCTTGTTTTATTGAAGTATATTAGACAAGTAGTATGCATGATGCGCAAACCCACCACCTCCATTGATATTAAAATATCTTATATTGATGTCGGTAGTAATAGTTGAAATCCATGTTCTTTGGTTTGATAAATCCTCAAAATTAATGGATTGGGAATTTTCTATCATTGTCTTTTAGTCATTTGACCAAGGTGACACTACAGAAAAGTCACTCTTCTATGACAAGTGAGCCAAGATATCATGATCATGGTATTCACCTTTCACATATTCAGTCACTTTCATCAACTGGCCATTCTCTGGATTGCATTTACAGTGTGATCATTTGATCTTGTGGCACCCATGAAGTGAAGTGGCATTTGTGCAATAATATCTCGACCAACCAGTGTCTTTTGGAATTAATATTCTGATTTTATTTGCAATTTACCTAATGAATTTTAAGGTACTACTGTACAAGTGTTATTCCACTTTGATTTGCGGTATAAGATCACACGATCATGCTATTAATGGAATACTGAGAATAGCCAGAGATGACCGAACTGTCTGGGCCCTGACCTTTTGAAGAAAAAAAGTGAAAAGAATCCATTGGGGGGTTTGTTTATCTTGTTTGAGCTAGTGTTGTGAGTGGAATTTTATAACAGTGATGTAGTTTAGGGAATTCAGTTCCTTACCTACTGAGCTGCCCATTCCCACCTTTGTGAAACGAAGAAAAGTTAATGTATTGTTTCTAAGAGGTATCGAATAGCCTCTACTTTATTTAGCTGGGGTAGATATTTAGTAGTATTGGCTGGTTTAATTTTTAACTCAGGGATTTAGTTACTATATTGCAAGTTTAGAGAAAAAATCAGGATAATAGGGATGCTGGACCTCTCTTCCTAAATTTCTTTTTATTTATTTAAGATTGGATTTTAAGTTTTTTTTTTTTTTCCTGTTTTTAAATTTCAACAATTTATATTTATACCATTTCTGTAATTTATTGGAAACTTTTTAATTTTTTAGGAGAATAGCAGAACATTTGGAAAATAGTTTGCCAAATTTGGAGAGTCTTGTATTAACAGGAAATATGATACAAGAGCTCGGAGACATTGATCCATTGTCAACACTTCCGAAACTGTCATCATTGAGCCTTATGTCTTGTCCTGTTGTTACAAAGCCTCATTACAGGTTATATGTTGCTTTCAAACTTCCTAACCTCAAGCTGCTCGATTTCCGAAAAATAAAATTAAAGGTAATTTTTTTTCATATCTTTCAAATTTTAATAAAGTAGCAGGACGTTTGTGTAATTTTCTGAGTTATTTCGGAACCAGAACTTTTTCTTTTATTTGGAACTTCTGTTGATTTCACCAAAAAGTTTATCTGAAAAATTACTTTTATTCTTAGCAACTGAAACTAACAACAAATTAGAATCAAGTAGCTCATTTAAGATTAATTTATAACTCTAATCTAAGCCCAATAACTGTTTATTTCTCATTTAAAGTAACTTTTTTAAGAATTTAAATAAATAAACGCTAAACTTTTACCATAAATATAGAACTTCATTTCTATTATAATGCTATCCCTTAAGACTTTTTTAAAAACTGTTCCTATAAAGTTTCACAGGAACTGTTAAAACAGAACTTTTTAAAAAAGTTCCATAAAAGTTTCAACCCCTGGTTTGAAACTGGGGTAATTTTTACCTAAATTAAAAGGTCACTGAAAAAGTATACAGTTAATCGGTTATGGTCAAATATGTAATAAAATGGATATTTAGTATTAGTAATTTTCAATTATTACACCTGATTCTTTTTCTATTTTGCTTTCTCTCAACTAAAGCTCGAGAAGCTGTGTATTCTTGCTAGAGGTTAAAACAGTTTTATCCCTTAAATCATAAATTTCTACTTATGTTTTCCATTTTAAACATCAAGGAATAAATTTGATTTTGTCTCTGTCGGTCTATAAGTGATGGGCATCTTATCTGTTACTCTTAATATAATTTGCATGAAATTTTCAGAGATTGTGCAAGTCGATATCTAAATCCATTTCATCATATTACATCCACTGCTTTCGCTTTTGTGATTTTTTCTCCCTTCCATAGAATCATGTGAAAGGGTTATCCTTAATTGGATATTTACAAATTCTTCTCTGTGAGATCTTGAAATTTCCTTTTGACTATTTTACATATTGCTATTCTCACTCAACTGTTCTTTATGTTGTTAGCTGTGCCGTATAATCAGTGAATTCTTATTAATCCAAGCAGCTATAAAAACAGCATCCTACAACTTACACATGGGTGCAAAGATCTAAATGGTCCATAATGTCTAATGAATAAAGAAAAAAATATGTCTTTATAATTTCATAAATTAAGATAGTGTCGTCTACAAGTCTACAGTTTAAAATTACAAAATGTTTATAACTGAACTATTAATGTTCTGTTGGGAGTGCTTAATCTGTGAAATGAAGTTCCTAGTTTTTTGGTATGCTTAAGAATAATAGAATTTACCAAAATGTTTAGGGTTTGGTCTGTAGAAGCTACTTAATTTAATTTTTTAAGATATATTAATTATGATACTCTTTTTTAAAATGATTATTTATGTTTTTAAAAATGTTATCTTAAACTCAAAAGAACTATTTTTAACTTAAGAATTCAGTTTGGTTATTTTTTTCTTAAGTCTACAAAAATCTTTTTTTTTTTTTTTTAAACTTTTATCATGATATTTACAACTGTATTAGTATAAATACATCAAGTAAATTTGATAACAGAAAATAAAAACATGAAATGACTTGTTGAGAAACTACCCACTGGTAGCACTCTAATACAAAAATCTAGTCTGTAATATCGCAGTTAAGTTGTGTCCTAACATATTAGAGTTTGTTCTTTGCCCAGTCGATGGTTAAAATAACTTAATGATTTCAGGAAAGAGAATCTGCTTTAAGTTTGTTTAAAAGTAAAGCTGGCAGAGAACTTCAGAGAGAAATTGCAAAGAAATCTAAAACATTTGTACCAGGTGCTGCTCTACCTGATTCAAAGAAATCATCTGGTAAAGAATTTGGATTCATAATTATTATTATTATTTATGAAGTCTACTAGCTAAAAGAGATAACTCTATGGTATTTGTGATTTTTTTGTTGTTGCAAACTTTATTTAAAAAAAAAATACCAAACTTAATAGAAAGTTTGTCCTTGAAAGAATCAATTTCTAGCATGCATTCTTTATAACTTCATGTATTGCATTGCAAATTAAATTTAATATTAATTTAAAATGAATTCTTGTGAATATTATAATTCTTGTTGATAAGATAAACCCAACTTTTTACATTGTCTTAAAATGTAAGATTTCATAACAATTTTTATAAATCTTTTTAAGCTCTGTCTATATTAAGTATCTATATTAAGCTTTTTTTTTTGTTGGTGTGCCTAAATTTTTTTTTTAACTATCTGGTATTTTTAAAAAAATAGCTTCTTCCCATAAACTATTATGTGTCAATTGATTTTTCATTCATTCATTCATTTGATTTTTTTTTTTTTTTCCTGTTCTTCCTTACCTCGCATTTTAGGCTATACGGGGTTTTCCCGGGCCGGAGGGTGAGGGTGGGGAATTTAAAATCCCCTCTGCCACCGGGAAGCGAACTCGTACTTTTTCTTCAATCTCAAATCTTGGTTACCTGGTTGCTGGGCAACTCGCAGTGCTATGCATACACATTAGTCCATTTGGCCACGCCGACTCCGTGTCAAATGATTATAAAAAAAGTTATTATTGGGTAAATAGTTAAGTCAAGCTCCAAATTTATAAAGCTATAATAAGATCTACACTGCTCCACGGGGCCTCTCTCCTGCACAACCTGTATAAATTCAAGTTTACGAGTCTACAGAGCTTCTAGAACTCTATCCTTCGGCGAATTGTCCCTGGCACCATCCTACAAAAAGCTAAGAATCAAACAATTAGAGAGGAGCTCCAGCTCCCCTCAGTACCTGAGTTCATAGACCAGAGGCACATGCTTGATAGTTCATTTTAATTAAACATAGCATTCATGAAATTATATACAAGATTTTTCTAAATATATTTAAAGGTTTGTAAAAAATTAAAGCAATGAATAAACAACAAAAACTTTAAGCTTCTTAAAGGTAAAAGAATTTGAATAGTGGGCATTTTGGTGAAGGAATGTTATTGTTAAGTGTATTTTTAAAAAATTTAGTTTCTCCTTTTCTTTACTTGTAGGGCGTTTATCCACAATAAAATATTTATCTATTGTAAAAGGATTAAACTATTAGTGTGCTCTACATTCTTGTTTCACTATAGGAATAAAATTAAATAAATGTTTATAACTTACGATTATTTTAATTTTTTTAAAGGTCCTTCAAAGACAGATATACAAAAGATCAGAAAAGCAATTGCTAATGCTACAACATTAGAAGAAGTGGAACGTCTTAACAAACTGTTACAAAGTGGCCAATTTTCCCTGAAAGATGTAGAAAAGGCAGAAAGTATGTTATATTTTGAAATATTTGTTTATTAAATTTTAAATATTCATATATTTATCATTACTATTTACTAATTTTACCTGTATAGTGTTAATTATTATATTCGAAATAAGTGAACTTTGTTTTTTTTTTTAATGGTCATTATAGGAGCACAATAGGCTAATTAGGCCAACCACAACAAAAAAAAATAACATGTCTATTATCACATAAAATCTTCCAAATCTGAGAACCATCATGTGATGATAGTTTGGTCCACTCTTTGTTAGCTCTGTTCTCTTATCATATGAGTTTATGAATGTAGTTTTCTTATCTCACATACTCCTAACAAGTATCACAATAATCACTATACTTGTATGCCCCTCTTCTTCTTCTTCCTCGGCGCTACATTCCACGAGGGTCCTGGGCCTCCTTCACAATTCTTCGCCACTTTTCTTGATCTGCTGTGGCAGCTTTCCACGGCCTGATACCAAGTCGTCTAAAATCTGCCTCTACGTCATCTATCTACTGGAGTGGTGGCCTGCCTCTCTTTCTTCCTCCTCCCGGTTGTCCATAGATGCACTTTCCTTGGCACCCTTCTGTTCGGCATCCTCTCCACATGGCCCAGCCTTAATGAAGGTGACAATGTCTACCTCCCCATATAGTGCAGTAAACTCCCGGTTGTACCTGGCTCTCCAGACTCTCAACATTCTTTCATGTTCAGCCATCATTGTCCATGTTTCACTGCCGTAAGTTACAACAGGGTGAATCAGTGTCTTGTGCCATCCTTGACATACCACGGAATTTCAGTACCCGCTGAAGGGCAAAATAGCATCTGTTTCCCGCAGCTATTCTGGCACCAATTTCAGTCTTAATTCTGTTACCACCTGTCATCAAGGAGCCAAGATACTTAAACTCCCTGCATATGGGCGCCAATACTTATTTTTTCATTGTTCTTTTCTGCAAGAGATGATATCTGCTATTCTTCATGTAGGCAGTCTTCTTTTCATTTATGCACAGATCCTTTGCTGCTGCTACCACCTCAAACTCCTCTAGAGCTCCTTCCATTGCTGGAACAGATCTGGCCACAATCTCCATGTCGTCAGCAAATGCAAGATACTGTGTGAGGCGATTAAAGATTGTGCCTTCTGGGTTTGTTCTGATAGCACGCACAGCTTTTTCCAAGCTCATATTAAAAAACGTGATTGCTTTTGTATCTCCTTGCAAGATTCCTGCCGTTATCTGCAACTATTCGGATAGTAGCCTCTACAGCTTCACCCGGCATCTTGTGTTGTCCCTCATTGTCATCCTTACCAGCCTGGTCAGTTTCCTCGAGACACTCAGGGATAGAAGATCTCTATGCAGTGTTGATTGATCCACTGAGCCGTAGGCCCGTTTGAAGTCTATGAAAAGATGATGCAGATCAACATCATGTTCCAAGACTTCTCCAGCACCTGGCGCACTGAATATTTGATTTATTGTGGACCTTCCTTGCCTAAATCCACATTGGTATTCTCTTTCCATGTGAATGATAAATCTCAGGTTGATGGCAGTAGACAATATCTTGTAGGCAACATTCAATAGTGAATGCTTGCATACCCTAATTTATGAAAATTACTATTGCGTATAATCATTTTTTATGAAGCTTAACTTTTGAGCACATTTTTTTAAATTTCATTCTTATTTATTGATGCAAACACAATCTATCCTTCTATTTTTGTTGTCTGTGTGGTTCAGCATTGTTTAAAATAGACTTGATAAGATTATTCAGTCGTAATTTTGTCTGGATGATTTAACATTTCGGTCCATGTGTAACAATTTTTCATATTTGCTTCTCAAAATCTAAGTATTTTATATTTTTATTAAAGAAAATTACACTATTTTTGTTCATTGTTGCAGTCTGATTTTCCTGGAAAGTTGCATTTAATTTGTCAGGATAAGAACAGTATTTGGCAAACACCATTATTTCATGCTTTTCAAATGGTTTATAATGAACATTTTAACTAGCAATATTAGTGATTCAATATTTTCTGGATTAAGTCTGCTAAAGAAATGACTAACAAATGAATTTATTAAATCCAGCTAACTAAGATTAATCATCTCTCCCTGAGTCTCCAACAGATTAGGATGTGCCTTCTCAGTCATACCCCCTACCAACTATATAGTTTGCTGCTTGATCATATATCTGTAAATAATGGAGCACAAGCGGCCACCAGACGCTGTTGAAAGCAGATATGTCAAACAGTAACCTACTTTGCTCTTCTTTCTTTAACTGGTATCAGTCGGCATACCAGAAATTGTATCCAGAAGTCACAATCTCCTTGGGGCATGAATTTGTATCAATTGGAGGAATGACTCATTAATTAGTTTGTTATCTTAAGGCTAAAACTCCCTATTATACTTTTATTTTTGTTTCCAGAGAAATCGAGTAAAAATTCTGTTTCTGCTGAAGAGGAAGAGGAGGAGGAGGAAGAAGATGAAGAAGAAGCTCAAAAAACAAACCATCAAGAAGAAGAACAACAAATGGATACTGATTGATTTTATTTATTTATTTTTATTTTTATTATGTAGAATAATGTACATATTAATATAAATTTATTTTTAAGTTTTTCGTACCATTGTACCATTAAGCAGTTAAGAAGTGATACTACATAATTTTTCCATTATTCATTAAGTTCATTTTTTCTTTATATAAATAAAAAATAAATATTTGTAAGGCTGAGATGTGATATTTCTTTTTATTTATCTTATCACTAATAATGTTTTAGCAGCAGATTAATTATGCATTCTGAATAATTAATTGTTGTTTCCTTTCTACATATTAAAAGGGAACACTTGATAATTATTAATATAAATATGTTTCTTAGACCAAAATTGCTTCAACATACAACTGGAGAACCAACATTGTAATTTCAAATTCCATAAACAATTTCAGAAACACTTTTGAAGAGATATTAAATTATCTTTGAAGAGATCATCATAGTTCATCTTAGAAGAGATATTACACTATTCACAAAAACATAAAGGTAATGATTATATTAGTTTAGATGTTGGGATATCAGCATAGAAGTACCTCATATTTTTGTGTGTGTATGTATGTGTTTGTATGACGTATACATGCATTAAATATATCATGAAAACTGTATTAAAATTTAATTCTTACTTTTTTTAGTTAGGAAAAATGTGAAAGCAGTGAAGAAGAATGTACTACTACTATAAAATAAAAGAGAAGAGGTAAAAATGAAACTGATTCCTAATTTATTTTTTATTTAAGCTCAGTATTAGCATCTATTCCCTTGGTGCTGTAATACTTCATGCCTGAGCAAATGGAAAAGTTTTTTTGTTTTTTACTTTCAATTACATATTTATGAAATATTTGACAGCATTGCGATTGTGAAAATTTTTGAATCTGAGTTTTCAACTGGAATACATGTCTTGAGGTCTCCTGAGTCCAAATAATTAACTCCGACAAAATGGTCTGTGTGTGTGTATGTTATCAATCTAGTTAAAAAACGAAAAGTCATATGAATGTGAAATTGCATATTTAAGGTTTGTATATACCTGAGATATTACAGGAACTTTTTCGTCAAAATCAGCAAACTGGAAGTGGCACTTTATGGAATCGATGTTACACATTTTTATGAATTTCTCGAAAAAAGCTCTAATCATTTTGATCAAACTCGGTATAACAGTGTATTATTAAGTGGTCTTTAATATCAGTTAGATCTTATCCACATTGATGTTACCTTATAGGACTGAAATGCCCAATATTCAGTATGTCTTCCTCTAAAATACCTTTAATTTGGTTTATTGAAAAAAAAAATTAACTGTCTCTCATTGTTAAGAGTTGAATGAAAAAAGGCAAAATATAACTTTTGAAAGAAATTGATAATTGAATAAAGAAGAAAAAAAAAGAAAAATGCTTATCCAGGTCGAAAATGAATCTTGCACACAATTTATTTAAATATGGTGATGGGTTGGACCAGGCAAATTTAAAATTTAAAAAATTGAAGTGAAAAAATTTATAATGAGATGTATGATAAATATTTGTACGAAAATGTTAAACTGATCAAGAAGTTCTAAAAATTATCTCACCAGACAAATATTTTTACAGGGTGGTTGAGCGGGTTAACATGTGTGCAAAACTTGTTACTTGGCAATCTGAAAAAAAAAAAAAATGTATTTAACTACCAGGTAGAAATACATCAAAATTATTTCTGAAATTTTGGCATATGTTATAGAATTAAGAAGTGGCCCTAGCAATTTTGGGACTGCCTTAAAGGGTTTTCCATACAGTTGTGAAAAGATACAGCGAATTAGAAGTATTTTGTAGACATTACAATATTAGGGTATTACGAAATGGCTGTTACAATTGCAACACAGTCATGAGTTTGACCATCCAAAAAAAACTCAAAAGGTTACCATATTAAAAAAAAAATACTCAAGATTTAAATAGCATGAGTGAAATTTGCTTCAAAATTTACTGTATGTCAGTAGACTGACAGGGCACTTATGACCTTGTTGTTACGACCTTATAACAAGGTTAGGAGGCTAGAAGATATATCCAAGTGAGATTAACGTGCATTGGAGTTAGTTCTGTTAGGCTGAACTTATTTTTAGACCTGAATGTCTGAAGTGACGTCTCACTTGGAATATCTGGTAGCTAGGGTGGCCCAAACAATAAACAGCCTAAGTCGTGTTGGTGCACCAGTGGGGCTGAGGCCTCAAGTATCCAGCCACAATCAATATTTATAAAGATGTTGTGGAGTGTATCCTGAGGTATGTGTCTCCTTTCTTGTCTCATAACGTATACTAATGCAGAGAAATAGGTTAGTATTGACTCAGAAGACAGCTCTGCTTAATGTCACCAGAGCATGTAGATGGCATGGAGTAGTGTAGGCCCTAGCGGGGTTGCTGTCTCTCAATCTCCTTCGAGAAATGACCAATCATGATTACAAGAGGAAGGACTCGATAGGTCTTGAGAACGTACAGGTGAGGATCATTGAAAACCCTAATAAATGGAAAAAGATAATCCAGGATAAAACAGTTGAAGAGTGGAGTAGATGATGGGTGACGACTCTAAATGGGATTACCTTAAGAAAATACTTTTCCATTATTCCATTTCGGTTACAAGCAAAATAGGTCCTATCAGACTATTAGGTTTCACGATTCCTCACAGGACAAAGGGATTTGAAAGCTAAGCTAAATTTTCTCAGACAGGATGTAGACCTTCTATTGAGCATGTGGTGACAGCCTGAACTGCTTTTGATGGATTAAAAGCCACATTGATGAGAACCACGGGAATTTCATCCTCGCCAAGGAGGAGTTTCCTCGGTTGGTAAGTGAGGAAAACTTCCTGCAGTTCAAAAAATTCATAAATGGCTAGAAGACAGTGATGGATTCAGTCCACTTCAATTTAGGTGCCTGCAGAAGGAGAAGGGAACAAGTGCCAGGAAGACTTCCGGATTCTGAAGCCAGTATTAGGACAATCATTTACTTTCAAAAAGGTCTACAGAAAAAATTATAATTTTGAGTTACTTTTTCTTCATACCAGACTGAAAGGACAAGAAACCGCTCGATATATCCGATTACTTCAGCACTTACTAGACAAATGCTCTAAACTTCCAATTAATTACAAAAGACTCATATACATGACTATAATAAGGCCTATTTGGACTTACGGAGTTGAGCTATGGGGCTCCACTAAACCATCGAATTCCTCTTGTATCCAATCCAAAATCCTTTGTAAAATCCTCAATGCTCCCTATAATGACTAAAAAAATCCATAATGACCTTAATGTTTCAGATCTGGCCCAATCCAGATACCTATCCTTCTATATCAAACTTCAGAATCATCCATACCCTCTCGGTTTCTAACCTTGCTTCTTCTTCAATTCCTGATAACCCTCCGAGGCGTCTGAAAAGAAGATGGCCCCGTAATCTCCTAATGTAGACATCTCATTTGAGTGCTACCATTGTGTAGTCACTCAACAAGTGTTTTCACGTCATTATATCCATATGTTTGAATTTACTAAATGTATTTCTTTAATACAGTTGTAAATATCATTAAGAAATAATAAAAAAAAAAATTAAAAAACTTGTTCTTATTTCATGTGTCATGGATGTTGAAAATCTAATTTTGTTTTGGTGAAATTTAATTTGAACCACTCAAATAACTCCAAAGATTTAAGAAGACATTATCTACCATTCATTTATAATTTTCATTAATAATGTTTAAATTAGTTAAAGACATTTTTTTGTTACCCCATTAAATTGAGTAAAGATTTGTTCAGCTGAATTGCAGCTTCTAAACATTTTTAACTATGTTTTGATCATTTATTATTCCAATTCCAATTATTCCACAATTGGTAATGTAATCTCCTTGACTTGCTCCTACGATCATTTCACAAACTTATTATTGTTTTTAAATTTTCTATGAATGGCATGCATTAAATAGTTTTATCCAATTTGTTTTATTCTTCCTTCTTGAACCATCCAAACAATTAAATTAATTATTGTTGTTTCAGTGTTTTAGTTGGCTGATATTTTCATATAGTTAATATTTAAGCTACAAACACTAAGGGTGCATTGACTAGTTACTACAGTGAAAATTCTTTGTCAAATGTGTCGAGTTTCTAATTAAACAACATATCATAAATGACAATAACAATAACTTTTTCAAGTTAGATATACAAACAATTTAAAGAAATAATAGTGGTTAAATAGTTGACTGTCGTGAATAATGAGAAGAAGAATAGTTGGGGTGATCAGTCAAATAAGAAGGCAAAAATAAATGATAATATTTATGTCAAAATATATTATGGCAAATGTCAATATAAATATTATCATTTATTTTTGCCTTCTTATTTGACTGATCACCCCAACTATTCTTCTTCTCTCAATTTAAAGAAATGCATATGATCTTTCTAGATTGGATTGTATTTTGCTAGTTGACCTTTGTACTGTGCATAAACTGATAACTGTGTTTTGTGGTTTATTGATAACTATTATATCCAGTTGTTCTTTCTAAGATTAATAGAAATTGCGTAATCTATTTTACCTTTCTGACCACTGAAAGAGTCAGTGGTTCATTTTTAAAAATTATAGTTGAATTTACAAAGCAGTCTTAAATCTTATAACAGTGAATCATTCATACAATTTGATTAACCACATTTCACCAACTAGTTAAGCCGACTTATCCTCACGTTACTTTAAGTCGACCATTCTTTAACTGTTTAGCTTTTAGTCAATTGGTAAAATTAGAGTTAAAGAATAATGGACTTAAAGCAACTTGAGGATAAGTCTGCTTAACTAGTTGTGGCCAGAGAAATAAGGCTTTGCGTATAGGTGAAATGAGAATCCCTTAGCTTATTGATTTTTTACTCTATTATAATAAATAATATCACTTTAGAAAGCATAGTAGGAAAATAAAAACAATAATCACAACTTTTTTCTAGTTTATTTTCAGACCATAACAGGCTTATATACTTATATAAACTATTAACAGCTTGCCTACTTTTTTTTATTACTAAAATTAATATAACCTTTAAGACTAGACTAGTTCTTCTCATGAGTGGTCTATCATTACATTATTGATTACACCCATGCTAACATTGCCTTTAACCACAAAAATATATAGATAGAAATATGGTTATTGCAGAAAAAGAGGTTTACATAACAGCTTACACCTTGAATATATAATTAAATTTTCATAAGATATTAACAAAAAATTATAAAAGATACATA